CGCAGGTCCCAGGCCGCCCCCGCCGCGGGGCCGCGGACCCAGAAGCAGCTGGAGCTGAAGGTGGCCGAGCTCGTGCAGTTCCTGCTGATCAAGGACCAGAAGAAGATCCCCATCAAGCGGCTGGACATCGTGAAACACGTCATGGGGGACTACAGGGACATCTTCCCCGACCTCCTCAAGCTGGCGGCCGAGCGCCTGCAGTACGTGTTCGGGTACAAGCTGGTGGAGCTGGAGCCCAAGAGCAACACCTACATCCTCATCAACACGCTGGAGCCGGTGGAGGAGGACGCCGAGGTGCGCGGCGACCAGGGCACGCCCACCACGGGGCTGCTGATGATCGTCCTGGGCTTCATCTTCATGAAGGGCAACACCGTCAAGGAGACGGAGGTCTGGGACTTCCTGCGGCGGCTGGGGGTGTACCCCACCAAGAAGCACCTGATCTTCGGGGACCCCAAGAAGCTCATCACGGAGGATTTCGTGCGACAGCGTTACCTGGAGTACCGGCGGATCCCGCACACGGATCCCGTGGACTACGAGCTGCAGTGGGGCCCGCGGACCAACCTGGAAACCAGCAAGATGAAAGTTCTCAAGTTCGTGGCCAAAGTCCACAATCAGGACCCCAGGGAGTGGCCAGCGCAGTACTGCGAGGCTTTGGCGGACGAGGAGAGCCGGGCCCGCCCCGGGCCCAGTGCTCCAGCCCCGACCTCCTGAGAGCCGAGTGGGCGCGCAGGGACGCCGGGCGCCGCGGAGGGCGGGCAGCGGGCGCACGCCCGGAGGACGGGAGTGTGGTCGGGACGGAGGGAGCGGATTGTGCAGTGCTCGAGTGTGTGTGGCCTTAGGACGTTTCCTAGAGTCTTGGCGGTGTTTTGGTATTGTGTTATTTGGTTACAAAAATTTTCACTTGTAAACAGAGAAGCGTTTCTTATTGCCTTTGGCATAAAATGTTTTCTAGCTTTGTAAAACTAACTGGACAACTGCACTGCGGCTGACACTGAAGAAAGAGCCCATCGGTAAATTGTTTTGGTTCCAGCAAGTAACAGCAGAGGAGCTCTTCTGTGGTCTGTTATTCCAGTTTGTAAGGGAAAGCCTTTATAAAATTCAAAATGTAATTGCCTGTGTCTCTGTTACCTGAACACATCTCTTTTATTTTTATATATTTCCTACGTTTACAAGTCTTATGCGTGGTTCCAAGCAATGGACAGAATGTATTTTCTCTGAATAACAGATTTTTTATATTCACAGTTATTGGTCATTTATGTTGCTGACCACTTGGTTCCATTTAGTTTTTTGGTTTTTTTTCCTCTTTTGCTGCTATACTTACTATAATAAACACTGTATTTTTATAGTTAACTATTTCGTGTTTTTTTTAATGGTGAACCTTAAGGACATTTTATGGCTCAAACCAGCATCTTAAAAAATAAGTTTTGCTATATATTATTAAGGTAAATAGTGTTTTGTTGTAGTTGCTTTAAGTTGGGTCATGATGTAAAATACATTTTTCACTGTGGGTCCCCAAAAATATTTACAGCAGAATGATGAACCATGCCTACTTGGGAATCATACTGGCAGGGTATACACATCCTGGCTGTACTACACAGCTTTAGGTTAAGTTCCTTAGCTTGTATGTAGACATTTATTCCCTGTAAAATGGGTTAATACCACTGCTTGGACCCAGGATAGGGGTAAAGAAGTTTATGTGAAGTTTTTGGTGAAGTTCCTAGTGTGAAGGATTTTAGTTGTTCCTTCATTCCTTAAAATTAAAAAAAAAAAAAAAAAACAACAAAAATTCACCAGAGAAACCTTCCTTAGTCCCCTTAGTCTGGAGCTACTTTTTGTTATTTTTCTAAATTATTCTTAGAAGAGAAATTACTGAATCAAAAGGCAGAACCAGTAAACGTTTTTCTAGTTTGACTCTCTTGCACGGTTTTATGGAGAAGCAATGTGAAATATGGTCCCAGACTACAGAGAACAGTAAGAACGGGAAAGTTAGACACCAGATCACCCAGAGTTTAGAGCATCATGAATCAGTACAATGCAGTGATACGTGCTGTGCTCGTCTAACAATTTAAATTATGGCCCATGCTAATTTGTCAGCATGGTGACTTGGTAGGTTTTAAGCTCAGTGTCTGTACATATAAAATTGGGAAAAATAATAACTATCATGGTTTGTTACATGGGTTAAATGAGCCCGAAGAATTCCTAGTCTCATTGAATTTTTCAGAACATCTAGCACAGTGCTGTTTCTATGTGGACAGTCAATGCATATTTTTTCAGTGAATAAATGTAATTGTTTCGGGGGAAGGTGCTGCAAATTAACCACAGTGAGGTAGATTCTTTTGGTTAGGAAAAAAGTGACCTTCACAGTACTAAATGTCATGTAGAAGAGTTAGCCTGCGGAGGGCCTGGAGGAAATGAGGTTATAGGGTTTTACTTTATTCTGATGAATTGGATTTTGCATTTTATTCACGAATATAGTTGGTCCTTGAGGTCATTTCTTGTTTTTCATTTTATCTCTATTAATTATCTCTCTGCACCTGACTCTTCCTTTTCCTTGTGTGCTGAGTTTTCATCTCTGGTGAAAGTTATTGCCCAGCACCCATTGCCAGGTATGTCTGAAGCAGACACCACCCTGGTTTCTTCACAGAGATTGTGAAAAATTTCCCGACACCTGCAAATTGAAGGAGAGGTCTACTTTGGCTCTCGATGTCAGAGGGTTCAGTCCTTGGTTGGCTCCAAGGCGGAATGGTGGGATGGAAAGGCGTGACTTAGGATGCTATCGCTGCCCACCTCATGGCAGCCGGGATGCAGAGTGAAAAAGGGGAGATCTGGGACAACGTACACTCGGCTCATTCCCCCAGTGACTCATCTCCAACCAGGCCCTGCCTCCTAACAGCGTACTCCACTGCTGAACTCATCAATGGTCGAATCTACTGATGGGGATCATGTCCCCATGACCCCGTCACCTTCCAAACATGAAAATCTGCAGTGGCATTTTAGATCTAAACTGTAACAGAGGAGGTGACAATTACCCATTCATGACTTTTGTTTCAGATTTTAAAATATGAAACAAGAGAGCAGATCATGCCCTTAGATCTTTTCTCCTCCTCCTTCTAGAGGTAACAAGTCTTTGGATACCACACCATTGTATGAGTTCATGTGTGTATACATAAACAATTTATGGTTTTATTTTGAAGGCTGTGCAATGTATGTAAGTGGTGTATCCTTTTGCAACTTGTCACTCAATCATTACATTTTCTGTGATTTAGCCATATAGATACATATAGATGTCATACTCATTTTATTCTTTCATGGGGGTAAAATCAAACTTGTTTATCCTTTCCCTAAAGGCTAGAGTCTCTTTCCAATTTTTTGCTATTTTCAGGCGGTGTACAGTGCTTCCGTAGGTACATGTGAGAATTTGTCTAGCCAGAAACAAATATAGCAATCGGGAGCCATTCCCAAATGGCTCTTGGGCTTGTATCAAGTTGGCTTGCTTTTTTTCTTTTTTTAATACTGAGATTGAACCTAGAGAGCACTGAAAATCATCCCTTTTACCTTTCTAAATTTTGAGACAAGGTCTTGCCTTTTTGCCCAAGCTGACCTTGAAATCATGATCTTTGTGCCTCAGACCCATGAGTAATTGGAATTATACACATGTGCCACCCGATCTTGCCCACCAAGCCATTTTTGTATGCAGATTAATTTTTGTTTTTTTATCTGTCACCTCTATCCCGAAGCCCTTGTGAATCCTTAAGCTTTTCATTATCTTTTCAACCATTCTGGTAGTGATAAAGTATGGTGGCATTAACTTTTGCCTCTTGATCATTTGCTTATGTGTCTCCCTACCTTTTACTTTCCCTTTTGACAGTAAGTTTTGTTTTTGTTAGAAGTTTTCTATTTTTATTTATTTGTAAAAGTTGTTTATATGTTGTGCATGTTCACTGTTGCTGTATCCATTTGCAAATATCTTCTACACTTTGGTTGTCACACAGCGGATTTGATCTTACTGTGTCACAATCGTCAGAGTTTTAAGGGCTCTATTTTTTGTTTACTGCTTTAAAATAGTTTATCTTATAAAATGTTATCTGTATTTTAGACATATATCTGAAAGATATATATGTCATATATCTGTTACATTGTTTTATATATATGTATCATGTTATATATATGTTACATTGGGTCAAACGATTTTCCTGTGTTCATTGAGATGATTATTTGGGTGTTTGTTTTGTTTACTTTTTCAATTTATTTATCTTAATATATTACATAGATTTGCAGTCCTAATAGATCATTCTTGGTCACGGTGTCTATGTTTTTTGTATTCTTTGTGCTATTTGTTTCTCGATTTATCTTGATCAGAGTAGCTGCTTTATATGATTTCAGCCTTTTGAAATATATATATATATCACCATCTGTTGAAAAACACTATTTTTCTTTTCTTGAAGTGGTATGCATTTTTGGTAGTCCCTCTCTCTTGCACTCTCTCTCTTATATTCATGAGTGATATTGGTCTATAGATTCTTTTTGTTTGTGTGTTTGTTTGTTTGTTTTTGAGGCCAGGCTGGCCTTAAACTCAACTATGTAACCCAGGCAGGCCTGGAACACTCAGATCCTCCTGCCTCAACCTCCCAGATGCTGGATTACAGGCATGCGCCACCATGGCCAGCTCGTATAACATCTTTGTCTAGCTAAATATCCAGGTAACGTTAGCCTCATAGGATGAGTTAGAAAGTGTTCCCTCCCTTTGATTTTGGAGAAGAGTTTGGGTAAGATTGATAGTAATTTTTTAAATGTTTGGGAGAGTTCACCAGTGAACCCAAATCTTTCCTTGAGAGGATTTTGGTTTCTGATTTAATGTCAGAACTTACAGGTATACTGAGAGTTTATGTTTCTTCTTGAGTCACTTTTGTTAACTTGCATTTCTGTCAACGATAAAGCTGGAAACCAGTTAAATTAGTAAAAGCAGATCAAACGGGGCCTGAATTTGTACAGAGCTGTCTGGGAAGGGAGTGGGAAAGAGAGTGAGCAGATGGGAGGGGTGCTCACTCAGTAGTATCAGAAAAATTTAAAACATCACAAAAAGCAAGGCCTGACGCGTGTGAAACCTGCTGGGTTTGTTCACTAGGGCTTTTCGAAGTTGGGCTGCTACCTTCCCACCGAGGCGGGGAGTCAGGGATCCCGTCTGGAGGTGCTGGCTTCCAGGACCAGTGACAGCGCGGGGCGGCCTTGAGTTTTGTCAGGCCGCTGCTTTAGGGGGCACTAGTGTCAGGAGGCCTTGAGCTCCTAGAAATGAGGTAAGATTTTATTCAAGTTTTATTAAGCCAGTGATGAAGCCCAGTTGAGAAGAGGGCTCAGAAGAGACAGGGAGAGTGGTCAAAGAGAGACTCTTCACAATTTCTCAAAATTTGCCAGTTTCTTTTCGATTATCTAACTTGTTGGTATCCACTTATTCACTATATTCCCTTATAATCCTTGGATCAGTATTATTGTTCCCATTTTAATTTCTTGTTTTTAGCTGTTTATGTCTTCTCTTTTTTTTCAGCTAAGGATTTGTCAATTTGGGTGATATTTTCAAAGAGCTTAATAGATGTCTCTATTTTTGTCTTGTATTTCATTTATTACCTCTCCCATTATTCCATCCTTCTGGCTTTAGTCTATGTTGCCGTTATTTCTGTAGATTCTTGGGTTAAGATCTTTTTAAATCCAGGCATTTGCAGCAGTAACTACCGCTTTTGCCAGATGGCATATGTCTGTGTTTTCATTTTCATTTGCCTCAAATTTGATTCTAATTTTTTATTGATTTCTTCCTGGGCCCATTGGCTGTTTAGTAATTTGTTGTCTAATTTTTGTATACTGTATTTGCTTGATTTTAATTTTTCTTCTGATTTAATTTCAGGATACTATTTATTGCTATTCTACCTAGATTTTTATTTGGTTACTAGAAGTGGATGACTGAAGTCTCCAACTATTACTGTAGAGCTATTTCCTAAGTTCTGTCGGTGTTTGCGTCAGTATTTTGGGGCTTAATTCTTTTGGTGCATATGTTTACAGTTGTCTTCTTTTTGGAGGAACTGACCCCTTTTCTTGGTCTCTTGTAAGTACCAGTAGAGCCACAGCGCTTCTCGAGTTATAGTTTGCATCAAATGTTGTGTTCTTTTCCTGGTCTTGCCTTGTCACTTTCAATTATTATTCTTTATCTTTCTGCCTGAGTTGGTCCTTTAGGCAGCATATGATTGCGTCATTTTTAAAAAACCTTTCCTGCCAATCTCTGACTTTAAATCATGTACTTAAATCCTTTTACTGTACATTTGAAGTGATTATATTGAAAGGTTTCCACCATTTTGTTTATTATGTGTTTTACATCTGTTTTGTTTCTGTTTTGTCAGTAATTCTCTTTTGTGTCTGATTCACTTTTTTCTAGTACTATTTTTTATCCCCCCTTCTTTTCCTTTCCCATAGATCTGTTAGCATGGAGATTACAATTAAGATATTTATTCTGGAGATTATAGTTAACATTTGTATTAGTTTGCTTTTTTTGTTGCTTTCCCAAAATACCTGAAGATGATACTTCGCAAAGAAAAGAGGGTGGTTTAGCTCACACTTTTAAAGGCTGAGAGTCCAAGAACATGCACCCCACCCCCATTTCAACCCCTGGTGAGGGCTCATGGTGGTTGTCATCCTAGGGGTACTTGAGAGATGAAAAGAGCACATGGGACTCACGGTGAGACGGAGTCAGGGACCGGGGAGCGGGCAGCCTTGGCCCTCACAGTGAGCTACATCCACAGCCCTTTCATTGTTTTCATTTTGAGAGAGATGTGTTTATCCTTTGAGTCTAAGAATATATCTTCCTGAGACTATGTCTGCCAAATATATAAAAGAAAGTATGAACAAGACTGTTCGCTGCAACCCTATTTATAATGAATAGCAAAAGCCTAAATGTACATGAGTAGGGACCTCATTCAATACCCTGGTATATCTGTATAATAAAATTCTAAACAGTGGTAAAAGGGAGGGAGGGTTATTTCTATGCACTCCTATCAAACGAACTTCACGCTATTAAGTACAAAAGAGTAGGGAAAGAAAATGTATGTGACCTGCCAACATTTGTGTTTATTAAAAAACAATGGAAGTATAAAACGTGAAACTAAAAAATAAATGGTTACCTTTTAGTAGAGAAGAGAAAGAGGGGAATAGAGTAGAGGATAAATAACAGAAACTTCTGTTCTTTTGTGGACTTGACTTTGGAATCATTTTGTGTAATTACTGATGCAACTCAATTTTAGAAGCAGTGCCTACGCAATAAAAAATAAAATAAAAGATACCTGCGGTTACCATGCTCTGGCCACATGTAAATGTCATATCTGAGTTTAATATACCATAATTTGAGTATTCCTGGTGGGATGAACTCTAAGCCCAAAAAGAATTATCAATTTTAAACTGTTTTCAGTAGTTTGCTTTTAGTGGTTCTGTTGGCATTTTTATTTCAAGACTATTGAGTGAGCACCGTGGAGTTAAATATAACACATTCATGTTGAGAACAATGGTTTGTGGCATAGCAGGAAAGAGATACAAATATAAAATTGATATGGTTAAGTAAAAATAGTTTGCAGTTTGGATCAGAAACATCAATATGAGTTCCTGGTATGTCTGACAACTGAAAAAGTATTAAAAACAGTGACCATCTAAATAGCAAGAGACACCTCTACCATAAATATATTTTTTATTGAAAGGTCCCTGGGTTGGTTACAGCAATAAGAGATTCTGGATCCAAAGCAGAAAATCAATACGATGACTGGAGCCCTAAAGAACCAGGAATAAAAAAGCTGTCAAAGTCTGCTAGACTTACATCAAAAGAACCCAAAGTCCATCAGAGGGCTCACTTCAAACGGACTCTCACTGGCTAATGATGCCCGTGATTGAAACAGATCAAATGTGTTTAAGTAGATGGTTCATTATGACTTGTGCACATCCACACGCCAAATGACACAGTATCTCATTAGTTGTTTTTGGAGAATTCTCGAGAACTGTTATGGTTTGTGCCTGGATATCGCCCAAAGCCTCAGACAGTCTGTGACTGGTTCACTGTCTAGTGCTGGGATTGGGGTGTGAGTGCTACACCCGCCCTAGGGTAGGGCAGCCTGCATATGACTGAATAAAGGGAATAAAAGAGGCTTGCTCCTTTGTCCTGGCTTGTTGCTTTTACTGCCTTCCACTGCCTTGAACAGTTGCCCCTCTGCCATGCCACGCTGCCGTGGAGCTAGCTGATCATGGACTGAAACCTCTGCAAACTGTGAGCTAAATAAACCTTTCCCTCTTTAACTTTGGGTATTTTGTAACAGCAACAAGAAAAGTAATTAAGATAGGAACCAACTATTTTTTTTAATAAACATGTATTGAAGATTATATTTATCTGTATTACCCCTGTAGTACCAAGGATCAAACCTAGGGGCACTATACCAATGAGTTCCATCTCTGCCCTTTTGTTTTTGTATTTTGAGACAAGGTCTTACTAAGTCTCCCATGCTGGCCTCAAACTTGGGATCCTTCTGCCTCAGTCCCTTAAGTAACAGGGATTGCCAGCTTGCAATCAACAGGCCCTGCTTAAATCATTTTTTAAATGAGGGAACCAGCAAGATGTTATAAACAGTTCAGAGGAAAATTCTAACACAGCACATGTATTATAGGTGATCAGGAATGCAGAAATAAATTTACAAGTAGATATAAAAATGGTCAATAGCCATAGGGCAATAATCAGTTACATTGTACCAGGCAAAATTCATTCATTTGTATTGTCAGGAAACATTTGCACTACTGTAAGTGTCCTACAACTTGGAGAATTCTAAAATTGCGTAATGTTAATGAAGGTACAAAAAGCCCAATGAAAGTTACAAAAACTGCACAAGGTATAAGTACTTTTTGTTGTTTTCCCTATTTCAGCCTTTCAGAAGTTTTCCTGACAGTCGCCCTACTCTTGATCATATTAATCTTAGAGATAATTTTTAATCACAAAAAAGGATTTTTTAGACATGGCCTGATTATTTACAAAAGTACATGAAGAGTGTTAATTGATCACATAGGTTGTGTTGAGTTTATTTTGTAAATTGAACACAATATCAACTATTTATTTCAAAGCCTGGAAAGTAAATGGAAAAAATACAATATATGCCCTGCTTTTCTTATAAACACTATGCCTTAGTGTTACAAAAAGTTGATGAGGGAAAGTCTCTGTCTAGATATGTGTCCTCAGGAGGAAACAAAAATAATAATAGCTGGAGTGGTACCATTTTGGAAGTCCTAATAAATAAGTGGGTATAATAAGTAATCCAAAGTGGTTGTGGGGCTTGGGGTTGCAGCTCAGTGGTAGAACATTTACCCAGCATGCAGGAGGCCCTGGCTTCAGTCCCCAGCAAAACAAAAGAAAAACAGCAACAAAAAGGGCATTAGGGTCACAGAAAAAGATTTAATATTTGCCTCTTATTGATCAGAATATGGCCAGATCTCTCAGTCTATTCACTAAATCACAAGAAATACAGAAGCTAGAGAAACATTAAGTGATAGGTGCCTCCAATCCCAGGTCTAGGCTGTATAAAATACAGTACAACAAATGAAGTCGTTTCTCCAATAAATTTCAAGGGAAAAACCATGGAAGGATAAACCCATAGATTAGAGACTGTGATTCGTAACCCATTGCAGCTGTGGACCTTCATTCTGCTCTGTGTGACACTCAAAGTGGGAAACGTGTACAGCTGGGACAACTGAATCTTTAATTATTATGGACATGATAACAGTACCTTAGTTATGTTTGTAAAGTGTCCTATTACTTTAGAAATAAACCCTAAGATATTTAATGGTGAAATTAAATGAAGTCCTATATTCTGGAGGGGACAGGCGACAAAAGGCTGGGTGAGGGATATCTGGTTGTTCTTTGTAGTATTTTCTTCAGTTTTTCATTTGTGAAATTTCCCATAATAAAAATTAAAAGAAAATAAAGTCTTTCTAATAAATAGACTTCCTTCATTTGATTTTTTAAATCATTTGTAACATTGTTGTTGAGGGGGTAGAATGCATAGTATTTTTGAGTTTAGCTTCTAAAATATTCTTTTCATAACGGGTTTCAAAGAAAATCATGAGGGAATACTGTGACTTTTCATAGATCTTTTTCTATTTCAGACAATAAAAATTTTAAATGTTGAGGAATAATAGTATTTCCCTTAAAACATAAATGTTATTCATGTAAATTATTTGATCAACCAAAAGCTTTTTAAGAGCCAAATCACTTTTCCTTTGAACCTCTCCAAGTGAATAATCAATTTTTTGTTTGGTTTCTTTCCAGATAACCTTTTTCATGCTGCTTTCAGCGGTGTGTGTAATGCTGAATTTGGCTGGTTCTATCCTTTCCTGTCAGAATGCTCAGCTAGTCAGCTCCCTAGAAGGCTGCCAGTTGGTGAGTAATGAAATGCAAGCCTTTTCACAAAGGTCAAAAGCTTTGATTTTGCATCGGAGCTATTTTTAAAATAACTTGATTGTATTCTTGGGCTGTCCTATAAACTTTTAGTTTGTTCACCAGTTATCTAGTTGTTTAAGGAATTTCAGTGAAATGGACTCATTTCTGTAAATTCTCCAATTAAAGTTTGTTCTATGTATAAATCAGTTATTAAGTCTATTTCTAAGGACTGCAATGTAGTTCCATTTTAGAATAAATGTCCTTAGTAACTGTTATAACATCAGTCATGTTGATTTTTATTGGCATTGGAGTTTTAAAAATAATTTTTCAAGTAAAATTTTACTGCTGTTAGACATATAAGCTTAATAAGGAGTGCATCAAAACAATATAGTTCTCATTTTTCAATTAAAACTTTTCTTTCAGATCTAGGAAAATCATAGGCAGTGTGCTGTGTACATTGTAGAGGATCAAGAAAAATTTGTTAGAAAATCTTTCATTTCAAGATTGGGCTGTAGTTGTAGTTCAGTGGTAGAGGGTTTGCATAGCATGTGCAAGGATCTAGGTTCTAACCCTTGTACTGCATCAAACAAACAACACAAAACCCACACAGTAAGATAGTACAGATCATGATGAAGCAATATATGCATCTAACAGGGACAGAAATTCTAGTGTGTATGGTTGCCTTCAAGTATAGATCTATTTAAATTCCTGGTAAGAGCATGGCTCCTCGGTACAGGGACCTTGGCATTTATTTCTTCATCTTGGGACGACACCAGACTGCCTTTCAGAGACATATTGCTCCACACTGCCCATCTCCTGTTACTGCTATTTTTCTGAGAAGTCAGCAGTGAATTGGCAGAAGCTTTCCTACAGTAGGACCATGTCTCCTTTTCTTGTGGCCATATTCCTTGGATTCCAAGGGGGCAGCTGTTGGGAGACCTTCTGTCTTCCACATTCATTTGTACAAAGTCTTGCAGGACCAGTGTAAATAGCACAGGCTCCACGCTGAAGCATGTCGAAGTTACATAAACTAATTGTTGGAGTGTAATCTTGTTATTTTCTGGTGAATGTAGCCAAAAGAAAAATTAATCCAATTTCATCCTAATATGACATGAGAAAAAATTTCCTCTATGTGGTTTAATCTTCCCCATGATTGCTAAGAATTGGCACAACCTACATCCCTGTCTCTGACTTGCTGCCCTGTATCCACAGCTCAGGTGTGCTGAGAGATAAAAAAAGAAATACCTGAAGAAGTTTGTGAGAGATAAGGTTTATTATAATATTAATAGAAAAGGATAGGGTTAATTAAGACTTATTAACAAAAAAGGACAAAATCCAGCGACAGTGGGCTAGACAGGACAATTACTAGAAGGTCTGGAGTTGGTAGGTGAGACAGGAAGTTGCTGGGTTCCAGTGGTGCTGAGCTAGACAAGAAATCTCCAGGGTCTGGCGGTGGTATTACACAAATATCTTTCCAAACATTCTTTGTCGTGGCCAAACTTTATGTGTAAATATAGCATTATTTATTGTAAATCTGAACCTTCTCCAATTATCTTCATAAAATTCTAGCTACAGCTCCTAAAAATAGACTTTCTTGATTATAGTGAACCCAGGTCTTCAGAACATTTGATATATACTGACATTCTGCCTTCCAGGAAAGCTTACCCATTTGTTCTTCAATGCATGAGAATGTGCTTCCCTTTAAACCCTTCATGGCACAGGAATTACTTTGCGAGTCCTCCTTCCCTTTCAATTTCATTAAAGAGTTTGAGAAGTAGTGGGGTTAGAGCTTCCCTGAAGTTCATATAGAATTTAATTCAGGGATGAACCCATCAGGTCCTGGGCTTTTCTTCGTAGTTTTTTTAAAAATATTTTTACTGCTTTAATTTCTTTGCCTGTCATTGGGTTATTCAGGATTTTTGTAACTTTGTAGTTTAGTTTTGGTAATTCATTTATCTAGGAATCTACCCATTTTTCTGAATTCTGCAAGTTTTCACAGTACATGGTTTCACAGTTTTTACTAATAATGTTCTGGATATCCTAGATTGTTATTTGCATTTCAGATTTACTTTTTAACACAGAAAAATTTTAAATTTTGTGTATTCAAATTTACCAATAGTTCCATTGATAATCTTACCTGGAGCCATTCTTAAGATCTTCTCCTTTCCAAGATCATGTTGCCCTAGTGATCTTGTTTTGGTGTGATTTTTTAAAATAGTAACTCTTTTATTTGGTGAATTTAATCTGTCTACCTAAAAGGTTAATAGTTTTCCTAAAACCCTTTTCTGAGTGCCTTACTTCCTTAGTGGTCTGAAATCCCACCAAAGTAATTACGAGTCTTAAGTGACAAGCTGCAAAAACAAAGCCAAAGGCCCGTCACTGAAAGAATGTTGGGGCCTAGAGAGTTGCAAAAGAGTCTAGAAATTAGACCCAGAAATTGACGAGTGGTGAGGAATAGTGGGTATAGAAGTGACACTTCCTGAGTGCTGGGGTTACAGGCGTGAGCCGCCACACCCAGCCATGTATACATTTGATAGGTTAGTGTCATGTGATACCACTTTTCCTAGCATCCAATTGCTTGGATTGTCTCAGGGCTGTCGTTCTCTGGACTAAAGCAGCTTGATCATGTGGCCTCAGGTTCTCTTTGTTCTGGGACTGCCTTGCCTCACCCTGCATGTATGATCAATTTCCAGCTTCAGTGGCTCCCTACACAGAAGTCTGACTCAAGTAAGACTCTAAGTTGGAAACCCTGTCCTCATGATGGTAGATTTATGCAGGAGTGAACTATTCCAGTGGGTCTTAACTGCTTCTTCTATTTGCTCTGGAGTCAGAGTTTAGGGAGGGAGCCTTTGATAGGCCAGGACAGGAGAAGAACCTGTTTACCTGACCCACCAGACTAAATCTAATAGGAATCAAGTGGCCATTCCCTAAAACAAAGTTAAATGCTATTAGGAAGGGCTTGGGGAGGCTGGGGATACAGCTCAGTGGCACAGTGCCTGCCTGCAAGCGTTAGGCCCTGAGTTCCATTCCCAGTAACGAAAAAAGGGGCGGGGGGGTGGGGGGCAACACAGGAAGCAGGAAGTGTAGTGCTGAATGGTCAAAAACCACCCAATATCATGTGTGCACTCATGTACACACAGAGAATTTTGTTGATTTATCTAATTTTGGGCTTTTTGTTATGTCCCACTTGTGTTTATATATTAATATTACAGAATAATACCACTTTAATTACCTTGCCTTTGTAATCTAGTTTTTAACTGGTATGGCAAGCTCTACCCTAATCTCATGCTAGACTTTTAATCAACTTCTAAAATTTTTGCCTGTTCTTCACTGTTTAGTCTTCTAAATGAGCTTTCATTTATTTTTGGTCAGAACTCAGAAGGAATACATTTGAGATTTGAATCGGAATTGTATTAAATTTATATGTAATCTTGAAGGAGAATTGACATCTAAATAATATCATGACTTTCCATTGAAGGACAGAGTGCATGCTTTGGTTTATCCAATTTTTTTTTCAATTTCTGCACTCCAGATGTTTTTCCTTTAAAATAGCCAGTACATTTCCACGTGGGTGTGTAGTATTGATGTCTTTTTGTTCTGTATGAGGGAAGAATTAACTAGTTTTATTTGCATAAAAATGAAACATAAGCAGATCTTTTATTCTCAACTTCTAGAAGTATCACCTTTCCTGAAATAACTACCATTGGGCTGGGGATATAGCTCAGTGGCACAGTGCCTGCCTGGCAAGTGTGAGGTATTGAGTTTAACTCCAGGTACCAACAAAAAAAAAGTAACCACTGCGAACAGATTTTTGTGGTAACTTTTCAGTTATTGTCTATACATTTTTTTGTTTTGTTTTTCGAGACAGGGTCTCACTGTGTAGTTCAGAGTGGCCTTGAACTATGTTGCTTAGGCTGGTCTTGAACTTGGGGTGATCCTCCTGCCTCAGACTCCCAAGTGCTAGGATTACAGGTGTGCACCTGGTGCCCCATTGCTTATACATTTGTGTCTCTGGGTGTGTATGTATCTTTTGTTCCCATGGTGTTGAGGATTAAATCCAGGACCTTTGCACTGAACTATATTTCCAGTCCCTTTGTTATTATTTATTTTGAGACAAGATCTCACTAAATTTCTAAATTGCCCAGGCCAGATTTGAACTTGGTATTATCCAACTCAGCCTCCCAGAGTTGCTAGGATTGTAAGTGGGGTAAGGATATTTTTACAACATGGGGAACTACTCTATGCGTGATTACTTACATTGTTTTTGTTGGTCAGTCATGTAACTTGGTGACATTCCCACATCCACACTTGGAGATTTTCTCAGCTATTAAGTAGATAGTAGTGTAGAATTATACTAGATGGACGTATGATTGTATGAGTCAGCTTTCTTATCTCTGAGATACAATGCCCAACAACCACAACTTAAAGGAGGAGCGGTTTAATTTGACTCACAGTTTCAGAGGATTAAGGCCATGGTTGACTGGTTCTAAGGCACGAACATCATGCCAGAAGGGTGTGAGAGAGCAGAGATACTTAGTTCATGGTGGCTGGGAAACAGAATGTGTTGGTTTTGGGGGTTTTGCAAGGGGAACAATATAATACAGGACACATATTTTATAAGATTATTTATAATAGTCACACAAAGAATCATATACAAGAGAGTGCAGGAAATCTGTCTGCACACTAAAGACTGAAGACTCCAACTGAGGGCCTGGGTCCCACAGCACTGTCCTGCATGAGTCCAGCTGAAAACTTGGAACCCATAACAGTGCCTCCCACGAATCCAACTGGAGGCCCAGAGCCCACAACAATGTCTCATGCAGGCCTGTTTCACAGATCTGTGCTGGGAAGGCCCAAAGGTCAGTTGGGGAATCTAAGAAGTCTGGGCCAGTGGGATGAAGGATCTGTGCTAGCAGGCTGAGGGATCTGCACTGGAGCCAGGAAGTGACACTCAGATAAGAACAAGAGCTCCCCTGAAAAGTACCACAGCCATCCTCAGC